TCGTTGCGCGGTGACATTGTTGATAGGGATGATGTGCAACAAATTATGTGGGCATACAAGTAGGTGGAAACTTTCTAATATGCCACACTAATAATAATGCTCATTTCTAATGCCACGCAGCTTTCCCTCGAACTTCTGCCCACACGACAGCCTACTTAGCTCGCAATCCTATGTGCATGCTAGACAATTAGCGGTTGATAATGAAGAAAGCCATGGGAACCAGCAGGAAAATAATAGCTTACTCCAAATATATAATGAAATGTAATTAGCACAGGCAGTAAAACAGACAATTTATGGGGGGTTGTAATTAAAAAGTACCAGTAAATACTCCTATTGCAGAAAGCTTGGAATCAATTGGAATGAAAGAACCATTGTCTGGAATAAGATTTTATTCAGAATTTAATCCTTGGCAGGCCAGCTGTGATGAACTGGAATAAGATTTTTCCTTGTACACTCTCCAGCCAGTGGAAGTACTATGTATGTGTTAGGTGCACTGAGAAATTTCCAGTGTGTGTTTTCCTGTTCTAGGTGAAGGAGCTCAGTGTGTTTCTAAAATGGCTGTGAAACTCACACCAAGCCATACAGCAGGCTTGAAATCCTGACTCCCTCTCCTCCCCTTCCCCCCGGCCCCAACTGAAGTTAGGGGCAACGCTCCTGTTGACTTCAGTGGGGCCACGATTTTACCCCTGGTATACTGGATAGTTCCTTCTCTGCATAGTGTAGTCACTCCCAATGCAAAGGTAGTTTGTTAGTGTGGGTACAATAGTGACAGGATTGTAGCACCCTATGCCTGGAACATCCGCCTTCAGATATTGCTTATAAATCTCGCTTCCATCACAGACCTCCTTTTCTCCAGATTTAATCCCTTAAATGGTGTGCTCCGGTTTTCTAGACTGTGCATGAACAATTGCATGTGCAAAAACAATGTATGCAGTTGGGAGACGTAATTTGCACCCACCATCATATTAAAGCATTTAATTAAAAAAGCGGGGGCAGGGGATGACAAAATGGAAAGTGTCTATAACAAAGCACATCTCAATCTCATACTATCATCTTTCTGCTGACATAGCTCCACCACTAGAATACGTGTGCATGTCACACCTTTGTAATTAGTTTATCCTCACAGCACTGCTGGCAGGTAGCAGGGTACGATTATCTCCACTTTACAGAAAAGGAACTGAGGCATAGAGGGATGAAGTGACTTTCCCAAGGTCACACAGGAACTCAGTGCTAGAGCCAAGGACAGAACACAGATCTCCTGGTCCCCGTGCAGTGCCTTAACTACAAGACCATGTTTCCTGTCATGGTGTTTCTTCACTTGCTCCGAGGCTCTGTCATCTCTTTCTGTCTAACTTAGGCCGTACCCACTGCGGTCAAAATCTGCTCCTTTTCACTTGTCTGTGAAGCCCCTATGATGGTATATAAACAATGGTGGCTGCAAACTTTTGTTCCTGTTGTTCATAATCTTTTGGGTGAGGTAACAGAAGTGCAAAAAAACCCAAAAACAGAAAAACCTTTTGGCGCAATTTCTCACACTTGCTTTCAGCCCCGAGGCGTGAGTGTGAAGAATAACCCGTCAGCTGAGGAATGACAGGAAAGAAGGGTTGGGAAATCTGGAAAGCAATTAGGATACGCGCACAGGTGTGTGTCTGGAACTTTATTTCTTGTGCTGATTGATGCACATGTCATACAGCATGAGCTTGGCTACCCGCACAACAGGGTACATTATCCCAACTGGCCACCAGATGCATTGAGCTGAATGTCTCTTCCCAGATACAGCATTCAAATGCTATCATGTGCACCTCGCTCAGAGGCACTAAGGCACAGATTGCTGGCACTCAGCACAGGTAACGTGGTGGTTTCCACATGCAGGAGAAGAGAGGCTTTTGATGAGTTCTGGTGGCAGATGCCTCCCACCTTTTGCAGCTAACCTGTCCAGGGATAGGGGAGACCAGAGTGGCCCTGGTTTTCCCCATGACTCTTATTGCAGTTTGTTGCTGGAATAAGTTCAGCCCCTGCAGCATGGACACCCCCCACTTTCCGCACAAGTCTTGCCCCTTTTCTCCCTGGCAGCAAACAGGCAGATATGCGTATCGACTCTCTCCTTGCCAGTTTGAGAAGAAGAGCCTCTCAGACCTGTGTTTGTGGGGCATAACCTCCTCCACTATAAGAGCAGCTTCACCCCAGTTTGGGCGGATACCAAGTCATAACGTGGCCTGGAGCTCCCCACCAGTCCTTTCAGACAGCCACAGTAAGAAGCTGTTCTATCCAGGCCACAAACTGAGGCCCAGAGGTGTGGTCTTCACTGTGGTTTTTGTTTTTTTCTAGGAAGCTGACCCCTCTTGCTAGCAGCTTGGTAGCCCCACCAAAGGGTGCAGCGATTGGAGCCCTACTGTAGACAAGGCAGTGTTGGTGTGTTTGTCACCATGACATTTACACCTGCTCTGAGCAGGTTTAGACTGCATATTCTTCAGAACATTGGAGGCAGATTGGGGCCCTGTCAGCGGGAGAAAATGGAAGCCAGCTATTGGAGACTCAGCCAGAGAGATCGAGTGCCTCAGCCAAGTTCAAGGTCTAGTGGCCAGAACCCGGGCGCCTGACAGATTGGAAGCGCCTTAGGCATTCATCATTTTGTGTCCTGCTCATGACAATAACATCTCCTCCTGCAGCCATTAGACATCACTCCCTCCCCCTCAGATCACTAAAAAACCCTGTGGTCAAGTCTCCAACTCGAAAGCTTACGTTAAACGTATTCCCCAGATATGCCAGCTGAGACAGTCAGAGGATGGGAGGAGAAGTGGGGCTTGCATACATGGCTACCGTTCTTTTTCCTGCCAGAGCTGTATTCGGTGAAGGAAAGGGGTCAGTGGGGGCGGGGGGAAGGGCAAAGGAGGTTTTACGCCAGCCTTGCACCTCTTTCTATTCCAGAGTTGTGCCACCAAGCTGTTCTAACTTCTGCTTAGCTACCACAGCCACCTAAGGGCTGTTGCAGCAGGTGAAAAGAGCAGGGGTGCAATGGCACGGCTGCCTCACCTCCTTCCATGGCCCTGCCCCAGGATACCCCTTCCTCCAGGGAATGGAGTGGGGGTGGGGAAGGGGCAGGGGCAGAGTTGGGACACAGAAAGCCATCCCGGGAAGCCTGTACACTGAGATGGTTTCCTGGCTGAGAGATTCGCCCTCTTTACAGACCGACCCTTTTTTGCTGCTGGACTGGTCCAAAAGATCATTATTGCATGGTGGAACTGGACCAGTTACATGCCTCAGTACCTAGGGGGAAGAGGGCAAGTAAAGCATAGACTTGGAGGAGCTACGGCTTGTTCAGACTGGTGTGAGCAAGATCAGAATCAACTCACCAGTTTCTGCTTTACCTCGGCATTTCTCGGCTTTGCCGGGTTTCATTCCAAGCCGTGTTAATGTTTTTTCAGTGTGGCTTGTTTCTGAGAAGTTGTGATTTTTTGTTTCTAATTAGCCACATCAGTCTGTTGTTTATAACCTTCCCTCCTGCAGTCCCACTATCTGCTGTCAGTACAGGAACTGAAGACAATTCAGTCCTCTTCACCCCTGAATACTTGCTCAATCAAATCTTGTAAACCTCTAGTTGAGTACATGATATGCGGTGCTGACTCTGGTTGTCTTGTTTCTTGCTGCCTGCCTCTTCAGTGAGCCATAGCTTCAAAATCAGCATATGCCACCAATGTTTCATTTTGATGGGGTCTTTGACTTGAACTGTGCAACTGAACTTCGCAGCCATCTGATGTTAATTTATTAATGACTGGAATATGTTGAATTATTTTGCAGATGGTGCTTACGCTTTTTGACATATGTGCTTTTGCCACCTGTACTAGATGATCTGTGTAATGTCTGTCCTTGCTTTTGGCATTTCAATGTGCGTGATGCGAGACTGCTTTACAGATGATAGCAGAAAAGCTTTTAATTCTTTCCAGAGCCAACGGCTCAGGCAGAATGCAACAAGCAGAAATAAGAGAATGTTTCTCTACAGTTTAACATGCAAATGTTGCCTTACAGGGCCACTTTCTCAGCTGAAGTAGAGCCAGTGATGTCACTAGTTAATTGAGGTCCAGGCCCGAAGTCGGCAACAAGTTACACCTGCTGGGGATGTGGCCTTGTATTGTTCAGAGTTATAATCATGATTTTGGAGCTTGTGTCTTATTTCAACAAAGGAAAAACATTTTAACAGGATACATTGAAGAGACAGACACATTTCCCAGGTTCTTAGTAAATGGCAAAGGAATTCTCCCGTACCAGAGACATTCTCCATCTGTGATGGTCTTATGTATTTTTGGAGGAAGTGCAAAAAATGTCCAAAGGTATTTGCCTTCGGTACCTCTCTGTCTGCCAAGAGGTTCAGCCACTTACTCCTCTCACCTGCCGCAAGGAAAATGAAATCTCTCCTTCAATCTCCTTCCAACTTGAAAAGATAAATGCTGTTTTGTCACCCTTAAGACATAGCACTCCCTCTTTGCGTGTGGCTGTGTATGCATGGTTTATGCATGGTCAACTTTGCCCCAGTGAGCCTGAGCCTGATTACACCCGCATGAATTGGGAGTAACCCTATTGAAGTAAATGGAATTGCACTGGTGTATGCACCTGATCGATCCAAAGCCTGTGGAAGTCAAGGGGAGTCTTTCCGTTGTCTTCAGTGGACTATGTATCAGACCCGGAGGGAGAGCAGAATCAGATTTATTGTGGAATTTATCCCGTTGTTTATGTCACCAGTAGATTTGGCCCAATATGGAGGTTGCATCCACTAACTACAGGCTGCATTCTGCTGAATTTGGCTTCTTACGCATTTGGGAGGGCATGGGCATGGGAATGGGGTGGAGGTGAGTTAACCACACTTCGCTAGGGGACAAGCATTTCCAGTTGCAATAATATTTTATTTCTTTGTTTTTGTCACTAGTTACTCCGGAGGCCATTGGGTTCTTGTCTGCAGTTGGAGTCTTTATTGTCCTCCTCACAGTCCTTTTCCTCTTAATCAACAAGAAACTGTGCTTCGAAAAGATAGGTGGACTCCCATGCTTGGAACAACCAGGGAGACGAAAACACTACAAAGAGAGGTCGGGGGTTCATGAGGGCCTGGGTAAGCATCATCATTATCTCAGTGACTTTGATGTACAAAAACTCACTGAGGCTTTGATTAAGAAGAGAGTAGAGCCATGTTGTTTGTGGGGAAAATAGCTGGGGCTTGAGGTGCGGTGGCGTAAACTCTAACAGTAGATATAATGAATAACACAGTTGCTACAAGGGGCCTGTCCTCTTTGTTGTCTTGAGCAATGTTCTCTTGAAAAATGGAAGAAAAACGTTGGAGAAAACACATTTTTCCATTGTTATCTTGTGGGAGTGCTTTGGTAGTGCAAAGAACAGAAAAATCTGGGCATTTCTGGTGTTTCCTCAGAGCAATGGGAATGTTGTTTGCTCAGTGTAGGATGCTTCCATCCTGACTTCCTGGCATTAGCTGTCATACATATCATCCTGCATTAGTCCCATTCCAGAAACGTATATTAGGCAGATCCGTGATGACACTCTGAGTCACAATAGCTTGGAAGGAAGGCTTATGGGGGAGTTTTACTTTTCTTGGTTTGGTTAAGAATGTTGGCATGTAACCTGGCATTTTCAGACGTGCTCAGTTCTTACAACAGAACCAGACTGATTTTTTCAGAAGAGCTCTTCTCCTATTTAAGCACTTGAATACATGGCTACATTGGGAGCTGTAAGCCCTTTTGAAAATCTGACCACAGGTGTCTCAGTGGGAGGTGCTGAACTGCATGCAAATCTGGCCAGTAGCTTCCTAAATGTTATGGTGGGAGGGAAAAATGCTAAGTAAATATTCTCTAGGGTAATGTTAATGCCAGTAATGGGGGACATTTCATAGAAGTTACCTGTCATGTATCAGAAAGTTCTACAATAAATATTTAAAAATATATACGAACATGCACAAATCTATCCTTAAACAGGCACTGCCAAGCTGCTAGGCTAGAATTTGACCTGTCTAATATTTTTCTCAGATTTGCTTGCAAAGTCAGTTGCATCTTAGACGTGTTTGGGTTTATCTGCCAGAATATATCCTTCAGCGTGCTTTTAATTAAATGATGGAGCAAGATGTCCAGTCTTCAAGATTAGTTACAGAAGGGCCTAACTCTGTTAGGACTTAGGTCCCAATCCTGCCATTCTCTTCATGTGGATTGACCACAGACCTGTGTAAAACCTCATGGACTTCACTGTAGCTATATCCAGTTGGCCGGGATCCACCCACTTTGGGGCTTTAATAACAAGCAAACAAATGCTTAGACACAAGTTGACACAGCAGTCAATGGGACTACTTATAAATTTAGTTAGACATGCCGGTAAATCTTTTTAGTAACAAAGCCATTGGGACTCACCCAGAATGAGGGCTCAGCTTGCATGTAATTTTTTCCCTTTTCTTTTGGGGCTCTGTGTCATAAATTTAACATGACTTTAGCATAGATTTTTCTATATTAAAAGAAATTTAACCGTATTAGTTTTAAGTCTTTTTTTTTTTTTTTTCTTCTGGCAAGTAGTACAAGAGTGTGGCTTTTTTTAAAAAATGACATCTCTCAGCAATGTGTAGGTGTCGACATTCTTTTGAGCTGTCAAAGACTATCATGCAAACATATATTTACGATGCCTTTTAAAATGTGAATTATTAATAAACAGGGTGGATTTTTTTCCCCTCCCAAATTTTGAAGGCATAAAATTGCTGCCAAGCTGAAGCACTCGGTGGCAATTTTCATTTCAAAGTAAATCTTCTACGACTGAGTAATAAACCCTTGAAAACATGGCTTTATAATGGAAACACTAATTCAACTTTAACTACAGCTGTGCCGTACAAGCAAAATACCATACACGTTAATGAGGTGCTAAATCTGATACCGAAGAGGAGTACATTGTAATCATTAATTACAATGGGAGATTACTGTCGGAGCCTATGTTCTCCTTTACAAAGTAAAACAGTCAGGAAAAGTTGAAGTTAGAGCGATTCAAAATGTCAGCTTTTCTATGGTTGAGTTAATTTTGATGTATTATATAGGTATTTTTAAGACCATTATAAGATATGCTTGCAAAAGGACCAGGATTTCTTACAGACATAACATGAAAGAATGGACCAAAACCTAATGGTTACATATCACATCATATGGCACCTGCAGAAGCCTACCATCTGGGCTGATAGTGGGGTTGCCAGGTGGTCTGAATCTAGCAAGGCAGCTGTGGTTTATGATGAAATCATTCTATGAGATAGCTGTAGTTAGTAGTGTAACTAAGGAAATCTCCAAATATTACTGCTAACAAGTAGAATTTTTTTCTACCAAGGAATTTGATTTTTGCTGTGGTAAATATGTGTTTGTATATACGTATGTGTATGGGTATATATTATTACACTATATAAATTACTTGTGATTCTGTTTTTCAGTTCTCTTCTTTATTCTTCTTGGTGGAAGGTTGCCTTTATTATTAAAGGGCCAGATTCAATAAAAACCTCTGCTTCTTATTGTTATGATGTAAATTGTTATGGTAGTAAGTAGGTGACGGGTAGATATGGTGAAATAGTGAAATCTAGCCATCCCAGTTCAGGTGGGGTTTGGAATGGTTGAAACACTTCTTCTGTCCGCTACTGAAATTGGTTGTATAACTGGCCAAATTGAAGGGCAAACGTAGGGAATCAAATTTTAATCTCCACTACACTAGTGTACATCTGGAGTACCTTTATTGACTGCAGTGGAGTAACTCAGATCTTACATTAATGTGAATAAGTTCAGAATCTGTCCCAAGAAGTTTAATGGCTCCCTGAATTTGATGTACATGACAATCTTCACTTATATCCTTGCTGGATTTGCTGTTGAATGTTGACCTATCTAACAATAAAAATAAAGTTGGAAGGAAAAATAAATCTGCCTGGTTCATAGATTGTAGGTTCTCAGGTTAGCCTTATATATAAATGAATGTCTTCCAGTGCCAGGAATCTGAACGAAGATTTGACTGAAGTTGGCTGTACAGTGGCAAAAGGAGTTGAGTGAAATACGGTTTTCATCATTGTGAATCTGAGACACACATCTGGGCATTTTAGTCCTGATTTGATTGTAATAGAGGGGCCTGTGTCTTCCTGAAAGGAACAATACACTTGAAGAATCTTTATGGAAAAAGAAGTATTAATTGGGAAACTCCAGAACAATGACTCGTAATTACTGTTACGCAGTGAGTGTCATTTGTGGTACTTGAGGCTTTTGTGCCTAGTACTAGAATTCCTCTTTCTGACCTTAATGATGAGCTGCATTCTGGACCATGATGCTTTGCCACTGATTGTCTCTCTTCAAGTGTGTGTGCACTCCAAGCCATGGTGGAGCAGCCAAGAGCAGTTTTGAGTTAGAGTGTGTGCAGCTGAACAGAAGGAGTAGGCACTAACTGCTGGGGTGCTAAGCCTTAGCATGATTAGCTTGTGCAGTTTCCCCCCGGGAGTCGATAGCCATTGCTGGAGGAGTTGAGGGGGGAAAGAGGAAATATTTTCCCTTTGAACTATACCAGTGGTTCTCAAACTTTTTTTTTCTCGGACCACTTGAAAATTGCGGAGGGTCTCGGCGGACCACTTAATGATCTTTCCAAATGTTGTTTGTACCGTTAGCTAACTATTGTAAAGCGCTTTAGATAAAAGTGCTATATAAAAAAACCTTAATAATAATTAAAGTTTTTTTGTTCTACAAATGAAAGCACACAACTCTTATTTTAATATCAGTAGTCTTACCTTTCTAATGCAATGGATGTGCCCTCTCCCCTGCCACAGCAGCCACAGAGCTGGGGCTGGGAAGGAGGGCTGTCTCTCCCCGGCGGCCACAGCCCTGGAGCTGGGGAAAGTCTCCTCTTTCTCTGGCGGCTGCAGCCCTGTATGTCCCAAATTCCCCCCCACCCCCTCTTCTCACCCTACTGCCTCCTCCCACCTACTTCCTGTTTCCCCCAAGGCCACCACCCTACCTTACATGTGCGTCTTCTCCAGGGTCCAGGCACCGAATAAGTGGAGCCATACCTGTGTGGCTCAACTAATTAGATGGATGGCCATTCTATCATGTGTGGCTGCCCAGGTGCGCACCTTAGAGGGAACTATCTGCGGACCACCTGTATGGCGCTCGCGGACCTCTGGCGGTCCACGGACCACAGTTTGAGAACCTCTGATCTATACAATGGAAGCAGGGTGAATCTTGTTCCTGTGCAGAGGGTCAGTACAAGACCTGTGCTCCACTTGAAACTAAAGTGAACTCAGCTGTACACCTTAGTTGGAGGGTGTACAGTGCTGCACAGGCCCTTCGCATGGGGTTACTTTTACCCTGGAAGTGGTGAAAGTTTACAATGTGCACTGCTGAGCAGTGTACTTCAACTGCAAAGTTCAGGAGCGAAACCAGCTTGTTTGCAGGAATATGTAACAAGCACAGGGCAAACCCTTGTGTACATTACCATATCTAGCCACAAGCTGCAGTGCTGTGACTCATAAAAGAAGACAATCCACTTCGTGTTATATCTTGATTTAGCACTTTTTATATTGATGTGACCTATTCCAAAGTGGAGCAGAATGATCAATCTTACAGCGCAAACTGAAGGCCAGAGAAGAAAATTGTGGTCTCTTGACTCTGCTTTACACAATTTACAGAGGAAAAAAAGCACAGAATTCTGCATTTTCCTCAAATAATTACCATATTGCCAACCCACAAGCATTCAAAAATCACAAGTTTTACCCCCCCAAAAAAATCAGGAGACCACTTAAAATCATAAGTAAACAAAATGGGGGTGGGGTGGATTGGTTTTTATTTATCTTGGGGTTTTTTAACTCTTAGAGTGCCTCAGTTTGTGTTTTCAAACTTTTCTCCTAAGCCACAGGGGATAGAAACGGGTGAAATCTTTACATAGTTACTTGACTGCAGGAGCTGGGCTTTAAGGAAAACACCCAATGTCACAAGACTTGGAATAAAATAATGAGGGTTGGCAACACTGCGTTTTTTCCTTGCTTTCTCAGTGTCCCCTTTTGTCTGAGTCCTCCATGGAACCTGTCGTAGGAGCAGAGGCCGTGACCATCACGTA